ATAAAGAATAAGCCACACAGGTCTTTCCCCCAATGATATCACGTATGGACAGAGCAATGGCTTGCATAGAGTGCGAGAGTTTTCAATCGCCGATTGGGTTGCACAAGGGGTCCTCTCTGATGTTTTAGAGGTGTTCATGATGCATTTTTCCCCATTGCAAAGATGCAACACCACGGTTGATCATTGGCCAATTCCAACCGTTAGTTGCAATGGACAATGAGGAACACTCTCATAGCATCAATTGAAAGCTCTTGACTTGAGCAAGGACTTGGATTTGAAATGGTTGCACCCTTCATTTGGAGAATTGACCATCCCTAACAACCTTTGAACTTAGGTGGTGATTGGCAATTGAAATTCCTGCCAACTCTGCGCGTGTACACCATGCCCCCGTAGTTGCCGTGGTCATGAGCTCACCCAGTGGCATGGAGGTGTAGCGTTGGGCCAGTAGAGTCTTAAAAGCAAAGCGCCACCTTGATATCTAGGTGCTGGGCACAAGCCGCTAAGGCCTGATCTGGCAATTATGGTGATGAAGTTCAATTGAATTTGATGATGACAATAATCTTTTACCGTACTGGCATTGTTTGGGTGACCCTAATTACAAGATAATTTGCATACCTGTGTACTACTAGTATGTGAGTACTACTATGTAGCCGAATATTGAAAAATCTCCCTATTTCCCTTTCATGAGGGTTGCTCGCCAGCCGCTAGTCACTAGTTATGCTATGGTATAAACGTGATGGTATAGACATGGCAACTACGCTGGTATGACACTTTGTCTAGCGCATTGGCAGCCCCACACAGGCGCCCATGCTATACCCCTGGATCACGGATCAAGGAACCCTAAGAGCCTCTTAGCAAACCCACAAAGGCCAAAGACTTGCACATCCGTGGCATAGTGAGTTTGCAACAAGTCACTTGATCGGCCACTTGTTTCAACAATCTTGAAACCAATCTTTTAGATATTTAGGCGATGATGGCATGGAGTGCAACAAAATTTAGCTCCTCCAATTGGTTTGGGTTACGCAACACATGATGATTGCACATGATGTGCCCCACCATTGCCTTTCAACCACTCAAACAAAGATGCCACTAGCCTCGCAGAGGGGATGTTGCAAGTTGCCCAAGTGATGCGTAGTTGACAGGGAACCGAATGGCACATAATCAAGCCAGCAGCTGGCTTGAGCAGCTGGCTTTTGGTGAAATCGACATATTGTCCTCCCTTAAAGCTGCTTTAAGGGAGGTCAATATGTCGATTTTGGTATGCTTAGTGTCAAAATGACACGGGGGGGTAGTGGGTGGGGAGGGGGGGGGGGGCAGGCCTGTGATGTTAAGAGATTATATAGTTGCCACAAAACCGACATATGGAAAGAAGGTGCCCGAAAGCGCCACTCATAAGCAGCAAACAAATCCTGACTTATGCCTAAACCTCCTGCAAATGCTCGATCACCAAAGAAGGCCTTAGGATGGATCAATTTGCAACCATTGAGGCTGCCCGCCTTGCCTATAATGGCATTTAGAATTGCATTTTTCAATGCACTGAAATCAGCACAAATTTGATTGCTTTTTTGTCCTCAAAACCACTTAAAATGTTTTATAACACTGTCGGGTGGTATTGCTGAGTCATCCTTGCATTGACATAAGGATTGACGCTAAGGACCAGTGGGTGGGTGGGTGGATGGGTGGGTGTGTTGAGCAGTGTCAAATTGATGCTAGGCGTATGAAATAGACATAGCGTCTTCCCTAGATTCGAAAGGGGCCATAGAAGAGAGCACCTTGTAAACAACTTACAACATGGTCGTTGACACATCCCTGTCTTGTTTGGAGGCACCGACTCTCCCCACAGCATGCCCAATGGTGGGTATTGGATATTGATTGTTGGCCAAAAATTCTTACGCTACCTTGTTACGCACTTGGACCTAGTAATGGCAGGTCCGGGTAATAAGGGTACCCCCTTCTATAGGGAAAATATTGTTCCAATCATCATATTTGGCACAATCTCGTCACCAAACATACCGGTGGGGTAAGGTCCTAGCAGCCCATGCGCAAAACCTTTACACCGAGGTGGCGCTTTGACTGTCGTACTGTATTGGCCCAGCACCACACCTCCATGCTGGTGGATGAACCTATGATTGTGACAACTCTGTGAGTGTGGGGCACATGCCCCAAGTCTTCTTGAATTCTAACTCCAAGGCTGGGTTTTGCTGGGAATCCCAATAATCACCCAAGTTCAAGGTTGTCAGGGATGTCAACTCTCCAAAAGACAAGTGCAGTTATTTCAAACCAAAGCACTTGCTCAAGTCTAGCACTTTTGGTCTATACGATATAGGGTTGTTGCTCATTGTCCACTGCAACTAACGACTAAAGCCGGTCAATGATAAACCATGATGTTGAAACTTCCTAGCAAGGCACAACAACTCATGGGCACTTCTAAACTGGTAGAGAGGGCACCCCTTGTGCGACTTGACTAGCGATTGAAAGCTAATGCTTTTGGCATGTTGTTCCTCTATATGTGTGTGATATGCTTAGGGGAGGAGCAGACAGGACCTATGTGGCTTGTTTCTTCATGCAAAATGTAGTAATGCAGGTTGTGGACTTCCATCTGAGTGTCGCAAGCACACCCATAGTCTTCCTTGCATGTTAGGAAGGGGTGGGGTGTAACAGCTCAAAGAGAACCGATGAGACTGAGTAGCGTCGGTCGAAACCAGTCTTGTCTGCGAGAGCCAGTGGCCACCAAGTGGTGAACGGTTGGCCGTGGAAGAGTGTTGTGCATTGCCCGGATGGAGTGCGGGCAACAGGGGAGCTCCTACCAGAGGTAAAGGAGGAGTCCCAAAGGCCAGTTGTGAGGAAGCTTAGAATAGGGAACCACGGCTAAGAAAGGAAGGCAACAGGTGCACAAATTCTTCAATCCGGACACGCGAGGATAACGAGACATACCGATGTCAGAGTCCCGGTTGGGTGCGCAGCCAAGGAGACATTTATCTGCCAAGACTTGCTCAGCCCCTTAGCATGGGTGGCCGGTCAGTGTCGAGTGGTATGGGATGCTGCATGGCCATGAGCTGGCCACCTGCGGCACAAGTAAGTGCTAGCAATCCTTGTTGCCATCCATCCTTTAGTGAGGATAATTGTGAGATGGGATGAGGCTTTAGTGAGCTAGTCCTCTCATAGGAGTTGCCATTGGACATGCTACATGGCACTCAAAGCCACCCGCCCATTGCCTCACCATCTGCCTTCCTGCGATGGTGATTGTCAAGTAGCATGCAAGCACAACCACTTGTTCCACTTGTTCCTCACCAAAATATAGATTGCATGTGCGAGTGTAGTGGCAATTGTTGATCTTTGTTATGGACAACGTTGTTGTGAGTACGTGCCTTTGCAGAAACCTCATAAAATTGCTTCCAAGAAATCGCCAGAGACCCAAGGGGTGCCGACAGGCAGGGTATTGACCGATTAGCACCATTTCCGGTGCCAAACCCAGCATAAGGTGGCAGAACCTAAACTCAAAAGCAATAACGATGAGGTTCTACTGATTTGGTGATTGAAAAAATACTATACCCTGATTGTACACGGGTACGTATGACATACCCATACCTAGCTACCAAGTACATGGTTTGGCGGGTACCCAAGTAGACGGTGGTACTTATATAGTACCCAGCCATAATATGGGCAAAATAGAGGGTGCTATTGGGGGCCGGACACTAGAAAGTTAATTTGCTTTAATGCATAATTTATTCCAGCAAGTGAACTCCATGGTGAATACTTCTTTTTGCAATAGTGGACTATTCTTTGTTGCAATAGTGCCAAACTACTCTTTTTTGCGACAGTGGATTGTTCCTTTTTGCAACAATGAATATGACTAATGCACAGCTTGGGAAGGCGGCAGGGCCTTTGAACCGACTCGCCTACCCGTCCCCCGCCTCCCCCCACCCACTACCTACCACCGGCTGCTACCAGCTGGACTTTTGGTGTTGTGCGTAGCAGGGCTGGACACTTGTGGAGATGTAGAGGTTGTCGCTATTGTTCGCTGCCCAAGGGATCGCTGTTCCGCTTCCTCAAACTTCATGGTGAATATTGTGCTTGTTTGGGGCTGGGTGACATACAAGGCCGGGCAGCACCAAATGGGCACCAGGTTGTGCCAAGTGCTGAAATGTCACCAGTGGCAGCCTGCCACAGGTCGTGGCTCAGAGGGCCTGCCCCCACCCAATAGCAAAAGCTAGTCATGGGACCAATCAATGGCACTGGGCGTGGGCGCCTTTATGGTCGACGCTTGGACAACAATGGCGTCGGCAACCAGTGCCTTGGGCTCCCCATCAAGCGTCACGAGCAACATCCCCCCAGTCCTAGTTGGCTGTGCTGTCTCTCCGCGTGGCCAATTGCGTGCATTTCAAGGGGCTAGCATTGCAGAAACAGGGCTTGTGAGGAACGGGGGGCTCCAACCTCAGCCAATTCGGCTGAATCTCATTGCCAAATTGAGAATTGAATGGCAGCGGCAGCCCCTCTCCGCAAGATGGGGATCCTGGGCGTCCCCAAATGCTCCCGTTTCACCTTTTGGCCCTTCTCCGAACATATTCGCCATCAGCGCCATTGTGAGAGATCCCCCCGTGGACCATGCTGGGCTGGTGTGGCAAATCTGATGCCAACATCTCGCATTATTGCCACTGTCACGAAAAGAACATGTCACAGACAAGAACAATTTCACCGTTGCAGAAAAAAAGTGATCACTCCTTATCCCTTTTTGTGTAGTAGAAGACCTATTGGCCATGGCATGGCCACTAGCCATGGTTTAGATGTCAAATTGACCTGCTACATTTATGCACCCTGCACCATAATGCCACAATGTTGGACCACCATGTTGGGGTCTTGCATTGGATGGATATATTCAATTTCTTGCTCATTTTCAAATTGTTTGTGGGAATTCAAGGATACGAGTGTACCACTCCAAACCAAACTGCCAATGTGTTTTTTTTTCACAAAGCACCATGTCAACTTGTGCATTGATATGCACTACATTGCCCACATCACGAATGCTGAATGCGTTCGGTCAGCTCGTGTCACATTCTTTAAGCAGGCTTATGTTCCAACAGATTGGTTTTGTGGTGTTGGTCTTGTTGAATTTCTTGAGTAATCACCGACCAGGTGACCTTTTGTTGGCCACCGGCTATATTTTTGGTTATGTTCGTGTTGGGTTCCACAATGCAATGTTTGAAAGAGTGTCTTGATATCCAAAGCATATGGCGAATCTCACAGTGTAGCAAATTTGAAATGTCACTGCACACTGCATGACGAGATTGGTTGTGTGTCATCACTGGTAATCTGGTTGTTATCTGATCATAACCATAAGCGCCTCATAGAAAGTTTAGATACATTCCCTAACTCACTGCACGACCGACGAATGTTCGACGTGTACAGTACACCTCTTTGGGGTGCGTTTGAGTTCGTTCAGAGCATAATGTACTACAGAAATGGTGCCAAGCCAAAACTGGCGGTACTGGAGGGGTACTGGAGGGGGCCTGGCTGCTATAGAGGGGGTACTACAGAAGTGGCCCCACTGTGCCCTGCCTGTGTGCTCAGGCCCCATCAATAGTCATGACCACACATTGTGGACGTGCAACCACCCCTTGTCACATGCAAGGTGAAAAGGCGATATCTTGCCCTGAGGTGTCTTTAGTCGATGAAGAATCTGCCACTCTGGTATTTCGTTCTCCTGCAAAGTTATTCTCTGTTAACATACTGTATAGTAGTGCAGCGTTTCATTGCTTATACCTTTCTTGGCCCTTTGCTTCCAGCAGCCCAATCGTCTGGTGCTGAAGACTCAAGTGATGATGTCAGGGTGGCGCTGGGGATGGTGGTGAAGAAGATCAAGCATCTATGGAGAGTTGGTGAGCGAAGGCAATCGTCACAGTTTCCCTCTTTGGTGATAGGAGCAGGCATTTGCTCTGCGCTCATTGTTGAGCATATGAGAATCGTGATTGCATGTTCTGTTTGGTGCATGTCTCATGCTTTATGCCGACACCGTCCACCTGAAAGCTGCAAGACCAGTGTATGGCTGTGTTCTGGTAAGGTTGCCAGAGGCTTGTAACAATGCCCGCGAGCCAACCTGGTCAGCAACTGGGGTACATGAGCAGAGACAGACTGGCTCTATAGCCCCCCAAAAAACTATGAGACAGAGTCATTGATACCACATGTCTGCGCCACCATGCCCGTGTCGCATTACAGTATCACTGCTAGTGATGCTGCTGGTTTCTCATCCATCTGTTTACTGTTATGGACCCATCCGTGCATCCCTGCATGCACTCCTTGACATTGGCCTGCTGAACCAATTACCACACAAGCCATGTCGTGCTGGTTGGCATTATTATCTGATTCAACACCAATTAGAAATGTCTCTCATTCTGTGCCTGCTGACGGAGAACATTAGTTGTTACATTGAATCTGATAGATCTCCAAGATGCCCGCAACCCGGAGTCTCCAACCCGAACTACTAATATGTCTGAACCGAACCGACGCTCCCTGTGACGAATCGCATGGTGCACCATTGACTCAGCAGTGCAAGAATGGCAGCGCTCTTGATTCGAGTACTTGAATACTTAGGACAAATTGTGGAGCAGTCGGATTGAATGGTTGGGGTGCAGTTCGCATTTGCCCACAAATGGATGGGCCCACCTGAATGTATTCACTTGCACGTGTTCGTTTGGGGCGCAGGTGTTTGCTTGAGCTCTCTTCTTCCCATGCCAGAGGCCTTGCCCCTTGGTGTGGACCCTGCGGAGGCACGTGACGACGTGCCAGATGTGTGCCGGGAGCTGACCCAAGCGAGTGGCCAAGAGGCTCTGGACAAGAGGTGTGTGGACGGCATTGTAGACGCCTTCGTTAAAGAGAGTACACAAGACTAGAGGTTGAAATACGAGAAGCTGCATGTTGGATAGAACAGCTGCCCAGAATCGCCCACGTTGCAGCATTCTGTGAATATGGGTAGTGTTTTGCACTAGACTAAGGGAAGGCGCTGTGTCGATGCAGGCACGCTTAGCGCCAATTTGACGTTAGGCTGAAGCCCCCCCCCCCCCCTCTCCCTTAGTGTCAAGTCTTATGTCGAAGCCAGGATGCCTCAGCGACATTACCGAACAGTGATATACAACTTCTAGGCGTGCTTGTGGAAAAAGTACGGCCAGAACTGTACTGATTATACTGGGCTGAAAAATGGAATATTGAATGTTATTAAATGCAAGGCATGCGGCCTCAATGGCTGTACATTGATACATTCTAAAGGTCCCCTTGAAGATTGAATACTTGAGGGAGGTTTAGGAACATGTCATGAGTTGTTGGCCTCTGATCAACAGCGTTTTGGGGCAGCTTTCCACCTTATGTCAATGTTGTGGCAATTACATAAGCTCTTAGCCTCACAGGTCTGGATCCGCCCCCCTCCCTAGCGTCAAATTGACGCTGAGCGTACCAGAATCGACATAGTGTCTTCCCTAACAGTGCACACTGTGTGTGGCGCGCTGCACTGTTAGTGAGACAAGACGTGGGCTGCCGACATTTCCTGTGTCAGTGGAACACTTTGACATTAGAGCGCCACAGAGTCGAAGCTTTTCCCACTCACCGAATCCAGGCACCTCAATCAGAGCGACACGAATCTGGCCACAGTTGACGCAACCCCGTCATAACGCTGTCTGTCCGATTAAACTGCCAGGATGACTGGAAGCCTGGCCGAACAAAACATGACGTAAACCTGCTCTTGTGTCCAGACTGGCGGATTTTGAAGAACTCGAGTCCGCTATCTGTGGATTCAAGCTCGCCAACGCGTATGAGTGGAAGTCGCCCATGGATGGGCGCGAGGTGAGTGGGTGACTTGTCAATGCCCACGGAACACCAGGTCGGCCAATATTGGCCAATAGTGGCCAATATTGCCTGACTTCATTTGATATTACCTAAATTAGTTTATGCATGGTTTAATTGAGAACGTGTTGTCTCTGCTGTCCTGGAACTCCATAACACTTGCTTGGGAAAGGTAGCGCAAGGCTTTGCACTTCGTAGTATTTTGTTGCACCATTTTGCCCGAATCAGCCAATGGGTCAAGGTTCACGCACAATGCATTTCTCGTGTGACATGTAGCTGGGAGTGCAGACGACAAGCAGTACTGGAAAATTGGTTTGGAGTCCGTTCAATTTGTTGAAATTTGGCTGTCGATCGAAAGTTGACAAGGAAAGACATTGGCACGGCCTTTTTGTGGCTCACAGACATGAACGAAGACATTAGAAACTGCGCCACAGCTCTCCCATCACCACGAGTCACGACTCGTCCCATTTTCAGGACCATCCGCACCAAATTTCCCCACTTTCCCAACTTCACCGCAGCTCTCCCTTCAGAACATCTTTTGTTTCCGTCCCGTTTTCGATTTTCAATTCCTTGGGCGGTAGGCACAGCTGCTCTGTGTCTAATGGCAATGGCGCCATGCGTCATGCAACAATCATGATCCGTTGCCTCGATACACAGGCACTGCCCTGTGCGCGACCGTCCTGGTGGAGTACTGGCGCCATCCCTTGCAGCGCGTCTTTCATCACAAGCACATTCAAGGCGTGGATGTGATGCATGACGCGCACACCATGCTGGCAACTTGAACGGCACACTGTTGCCGTTGGACTTCGGCGCTCGTTCAGTTGACACTCAAGCGAGCATTCGAAACTGGCGAAACAATGTGATGTCATCTTTATGTCATCCGTCATTTGCTGAAATGCAGATGACGCGAATGCGTTCCGCAGGTCATGGAGGCGTTGGGCATTCAGATTGCCGGCCCGGCTATGAAACCGTGGATGGATGCCATTGTGAGGTGGCACCTGGCGCACCCCGACGGGACAAAAGAAGAGTGCAGGGACTTCATCTTGAAGCGCCAAGCCAGCCAAAGGGACAACGAGCAGTCCCGCCAGGGCACATGACAGGGGGCGATGCCCTGTATCGATGCCTCGTGCGCAGGCAGACCGCGGATCTCGCTGTTGAGCAGCGTGCAAGATGGAAATGTTTGGAACATACGGATCGAGGTGCTAATCCAGGCACATGCAAGAACTTTGGTGCCGCGGCCTTTGCTGCCGACGCGCCGTTCAGCAATCTGACTTGAAGGATGCCGGTGCAGGACACTGCACGATGCAGTGGCGTGGCTTGTCTGGTTTAGCACTGGCCACAGGCGGCGTTGGCGGCCCCCGGAGTGTGGCGCGTCACTGTTAGCGTGCAGCCGGACACTCGGAGGGCTCTTATGGGCTGTCGCTGTTGAGCTATGGCCACCTGAATGCTGCGCATGGTATCACCGCCATTGGGGGGAAAGAGCGGGTATGCACATAAATGCGTATTCGGTAAGCTGTCGATGCGAAGTTGTAATATTTCATGCGAAATGAATGACACGATTGAAATGGATGCTGCGTTTTCGTCCTTCAAGTTCCAAGCTGTTGCCAGCTGTGTCCCGCAGTGCACATCCCCCTCGATCTGCGAAGAGGAGCTGGCTTAGCACATTGGCACCATCTTTGGTTTCCTCTGGGTGTGAATGCGCTTGCAACATCCTTTCCTCCTGACCGGTCTCCTGAACCCACCTGGTCATGTTCCCCACACGGCAAGATATTTACAAAAGAGGTGTCCATCACAATGTACTCCAAATACCCGAGGTCCCCGCACTTGACAGTTTGCCTTTTCGCTTCGCACATATTTCACGCCACTTTTCTCCCGTGACTCAGTCCTGATTCAGGCCCCTAATCCAGTACTTCCTTCCACACCTTGCCTCTCTCCCTCAACTCAACCGGACTCCACTTTCTAGGGCGGGAGGGCCGGGTGCGAAACAAAGATAGGAGGGGGGCCGAGGGGGAGCCTAAATAGCCGCCCCCGCTCAGCCCCGCCAAAGTCCAAGGGCGCCAAACTGACGGCGCCTTGGAAACTACGTGCTTTGACTGACCCAAGCTACTAGAAGGGCCAGAAACCCGTTTGAATTCAACTGCTACCTATTTGAATCCTCGGCGCAACATAATTAGTATAGTATAATACTATCTTGCTGATGAGTTTCTGCCAAGGACGACGTTGGGTGGGCGCGCGCCGGCCATGCTGGGCTGGGCTGCCTTTCTGAACGCCATCAAACGCCGGTTTCCGTCACCCCTGTACCCGGGGTCAGGTCTGACCGCCGGATCCAAGGGGCAACCGGGTGATCCATGTAACTTGGGGGCAGACAAGGGGACCGGTCAACCTGGCCCTTGGGTTTGGCGGGAAGCTTGGCAGCAAGTGGGAACGGCTATTTTGGGCGTGACCCTTGGCGACCCCTTTATCTTGTTTCGCACCCACCCGGCGCAACCTGATAAAGCGAGCTTCGGTTAGTTGTGGAATGGAGAGGGAGCTGAGTGTCCTCGTACTCAGCTCCCTCTCCATCCCACAAGGGAGCTGACTCATGGTTGAGTCACCATTAGTGTGGTGTCATTAAGTACTATGCGAAGCGAGGGCACATTTCAAGTGGGTCGCCAATCGGGTCTTGTACTAGTGAGGTGATGGACATCAGTACGTTTGGGAGGGGGGGGAGGAAGGAGACTGGTAACGCAGAAATGTATTAACAAGATAGTTAATTGCATATGCCATTCGCCACTGACACCGCGCCAGAGCTTTGCACGGCAGCACCCACACGCGATGTGCCATACAGCCTGACGCGATCGGGCGGGATTAATTGCTGCCGACCTCTCTGAGATGCATCACCCAATCGGGTCACAGGTTTGCAGATTGTTGGCAGTTGCTTTGAAGCGCATCTGCATTTCGTTGCTTGCACCAGTGCGATTTGCGCATCAGGCTCTCACTGCACGATGTGCGATCTGCCACGCTGGTCATTGTCGCTGAAACGGGACACGTTTGTGGCTGTTTTGGTGGGAATCTTCATGCATGCGGACGCACGTATTGTGACTTTGCGTTCTGACGAGCAAGGCTGAGCGACAAGAGCGTCTGCCATCTCGTTCGCACTAGCTTGTGGGCTTGCGGTCTAGCGCGTATTCCCACACCATTGGTGGCTTGACCGCAGCGCACTGTGAACAAAACTGCGAGAACGAGGCTGTGGCAGCGAGGAGCAACGCTTGCGAGGTCGGCGCGATGCAGCACCCCAAGAGGAAAGCGCCAGGCCAGGAACGTGCGCATGCTTATACTTGTGACTCAATTATTTCTGCGAAATGCGCAGGTTGTTCTCCGCACTTTCAAACCGCACGATGGAAGAAACAACCACGCTCCGCCGTGTCTCAATCCGGGCGACAACGCCTCTCACGCCCTTCTTCAACATTGGCGTCGCCCTTCATGTCCTCCAACTCCCCGGCTGCCAGCCCAACCCAAGCAACAACATTTCTTCCCTGTCCCCCATGCAACTGGGAGGGGGACAATGTGGAACGCCCAACCTGCCGCTCTTCAGCCAGCGGCAGAAAATCGCACAAAAATGTCTTGCCCATCAAGAAGCGAGGGAAGTTCCCCCACACTCAGCCTGCCTTCCCTCGTTGCCACTGCCAGTGACATCCAACCGGCACAATTCTACTTCATCGCACTCCAAATACCGGCCCTCGACTCCAAATCAATCAAGACACCTTGGCCCGTCCTGACACTCCATCGATGGAGGATACATATCCGATATACTTCCGATATGTATCTGCTATCGGAGGATCCAACATAGAATCGTCCGATATCTTCTCATTTTCCACCACCGACGGCCATCGATCCCTGCCGCCCTGTGATAGCCTGGACGGCTGGGCGCCGAAGTGGGGGGGGCCTAGTGGGCGGGAGAGAGGCCGTCGCTGTAGGCGCGGGGCCGTATCCAGGTGAGCAGGATGGGCAGCACCACGAGGCCGTGCCACACTGCGGCGCTCACCGTCGTGAGGAACATGACGAAGAAGACGCGGAAGATGTAGTGCTCTCCGAAGTACATGATGGCGATCGCCAGCCTGGAGGGGGCAGCACCATGGCCGTCATGAGTACAGCAGGCAAAGTGTCAGGAGACGAGTGTGAGAAGACAAGTGAGAGGACAAGAAAGCAAATGCAGGAACGGAAGCATGGATGAAGCGTGAGTGATTCTCAAGATACGAGGATACAGCAAATATCTGCCAAGCTTCAAGCCGGTGGTGCGAATACACTGCTGCGCCAACGTTCTCCAAGGGGCTATTGCGCGCACGGCAGCAGGCATCCTCGGGGCGTTGTTAGCGAAGCCGCAGTTCGGGGCGTGGAAAGATCGCAGGTGCGACTACCAACATCTGAACTGGTCAACTGCTCATGGTCGACGGAGGACAGACTTGGCTTTGTTCAGAACATCGTTGAAAAGGAAATATATTCTGAATCCATTGCAACGCAGTCCCCTTTCGTCGCCCTGAAGCTGCCACAGCCGTGCTTCGTCGCATTTCGTCTTTTGGTGACAGCCGGATAGCATGCCACATCTACATATACAATGCAGTGTCAATTTACCCAAGTTCAACTTACACAATTGGGACTCAGGATGTGGTACACGCATAACGCAGCTTTCCGGCATTCGGCACATCAACACCACGCACGCGATCTTCAGCAAATTAGCACGGGCCAAACACACAATCAATCATACCAACCCAAAACTGCATGGCGCAATGCTGGGCTAACTGTGTAACGTGGCCCATTCGCTGCTGGCGAGGCGGCCAGGGGGGTCCCACCATGTCGTGACGGCGCCTGCCAGCACCTCGCCGCCGATGTGGTCCAGCGCCCCCCTCGCCCGCTCCCTGGGCTGGCCGGACACCGACAGGAAGGAGTGCGCCACGTGGGTGGCGTAGTCCACGGCGATGCCCACGGAGAGGATGAGGTTGACGGCGGACACCATGTTGAAGGTTATTCCCGCCCAGTACATCGTTCCTGGGGGCACGCGGGGTTCCACGCGTAATCAGGGAAATGTGGTGCAACACACTGCAATGAAGTACGAAGCCCTGTTCCATCCATTGCTAACACATGGGCACGGGGGGCAAGCCACCTGTGCCCACCCCTGGCAATGCCAAGGGTGAGCACAGTTGAGAGATCGAATCGTTGGGGAGGCGGACGGCTTGATGCGCCCCTTAAGTACTGGGGCGAGGAAGCGTTTGGCCCAAGAGATGTTGAAGGCGTTCGGCAGGTGGGGAGGCAGTCGACTGGCATTTTCCATCAGAGCGTAAGACTGGAGAAGCGATGCAACTGAGCAAATACAACAATGGAATTTAAACTAGTGCTGAAACGTGGGGAGGTTAGGAGAAGCCTTCAGGCATCCAATGTATCAGGCAGTGTCGACATTCCACCTGAGAAAGAAAACTTTTAATAAGAATTCGTCTGCTCAGAGTCGACAACTCCGTGGCTACCTTGTCACACACAACCCTGCAGAGAGAACCGTAAAAAACCGTCCGGAAATTGCTGTGAAATACTGTTATTACCCGAGATATTTCACGGGAAAAATAGTGAATTACTGTCGACGATCGCCCATCAGATGTGCGATCACCCGCACGAATCTATGCGCTCCAATAGGCCATGGACATGGAGGAAGAGCTACATCCTCCCCCACAGGATGAGGGGCAACGAGAAGTAGAGAAAATCAGTAACAGAACGCCAACGGAGCACAGGGCAGGAAGTACTACGAAGGGGCTGTCGACACGGGGAGGAAAGGTTCATCCTCCTTCACAGAAAGACAGTAGAAGGAGAACAGGAGCCAATGAAGCAAATATCTGAAAGCAAAACGCAAAGCGAACACAGACAAGGAAACGCCGCGAGCAAGCAGAAGAAGGGAGAAGAAGAAGAAGATTTCCTACGCACGGTGTTGCAACAGAAGTGCTCGTGCCACCGTCCGTGCCATACCCGAAACACGTGGCCCATCAGAATGCATCGCGGCCACGTATAGGCCCCCCATGCGCAGCCCCACCAGCCCCACCGAAGAGCGAAACAAGACAACGGGCAGAGGAATAAGCACCGCAAAACCATATTCAGTTTGTTGTTGATGCGAAGTTGTAACATTTACGCAAAATGAATGACAGAGTTGAAATGGATGCCTGTTTTCGTCGGTCGAGTTGGAGCTGCCGCCATCCCATGTCGCACGGCGCGCTATCCCCCCCGTTCCCTCAGCGAACAACGTCCGCCACTCACCCAACAGGACGACCTCCGTCAGGGCCACCATGAACAGCACGGCCAGCGACGCGGTCACGTTCGCCAGCGTCACCACGGTCACCAAGAAGATGGCCAAGCCGGCGCTCAGCAGGTTCCGCACGCTCTCCTCCACCACTACCGCGAAGCCGTCATAGAAGACGAAGTTGTAGCCGAAGGCGATTGCGTCCAGGCTGCCGGCCACCCGCCCCGCCATATCCCTCAAGCTCTTGACCATGCTCACGGCGTCGTGGGCCGCCGTGGCCTTCGTGTAGCCCTCTATTCGGGAGGAGATGATGCGCTCGTTGGCGTCGTCCATGATGACGAAGCCGTAGTAGGGGCGGCCGGCGGGCGTGGTCAGGAACTCCTGGACCCAGTTGTTGAAGGAGGGAGCGTCGGGGGCGCGGCCGCGCACCAGCGAGGCGTTGTGGGGCGAGTTGGGCAGCCAGGCCATAAAGCCGTCGTACCTGCGGGGTTGGTCGCACGTTGGACGGCACGCCACGGCATTCTCTTGCGGAATATTGTACGAGACTTGGTACTTCACAGTACTTGGACGTACCGCTTTTTACTGAAGAATTGTTCAACATAGTAAACATTACTCAGTCTGAGTAATGTTTACTATGAATCATTGATTCATTGAGTGATTGAATGGACACACCGTTGGTTACCAACGATTGGTGGGCTTTGATGTGCAGGCGCGTACACGCGGCATTCATGCAGCACATGGGCTGCGCGCTGTGCGGCATGCTGCGCGACTTGGATGCCAATGCGGCCGAGCATTCCGAGCGGCGTCCACCACCGGCAGACCTTCCCATGGGGAGAGAATCTGGCCTTTTTGGGATGACGCTTTAACTTCTGGAATTCCTGCATTACTGCCCGATTGGAGTGGTGTATGCGTTTCGACTGGCACTCGACATAACTTCTCTAATGCAAACATTCATCTAATTGTATAATTCAAATGGTCAGTTCACTCAATTCACTATGGTTACTTGTCGATCTTGGCACCGACGACAAAAAAAAGTTTCCTTCGCCTGTGCAGCCCGCTTGCACATGCACAGAGCAGGAGGACACCCATAGATGGACCCACCAGTCCACGACGGGAGGATAGGAAACCACGTAAGGGTTGTTCCTGGTGGCCTCCCCCAATCGGCGAAGTTCTTTCTGATGGTAAAAGTAGTCTTCCTCCGCCTCCTTCGTGAAGATGTCGAACTGGTCACGCGTACCTCCGAAGATCTTTCCCTCCACCTATGCAACGACGGCGACAAGGCGAATGCCAAATTCACAGAATTGGAGTACAGTTGTCCGAAACAATACAGTATCTTCAATGAAGAACAGCACGCAAAGGCGTAAATATAGCTGACAAATCGAACTTCCCCAACGAGCAACTCAGCGGAGAGTCGTGCCATGACAGCTGGGTCTTTTTCAGGCTTTGGTGATTGGATTTGCAGGTAAGACTCTGACTGTGCTCTTGGCGAAAGTTGCGCTCGACTGTCGTCCAGGTAGAGACACGATGTTGGGCAATTTGCAGCAGCCCCGCGGCGCGATTGCCGACGCAAGAGCTGGAGGGAGGAATGGGCATGAGTACAGCCGCCACTGGCGCCCTCTTTACACAAAACTCACCTATTAATGAGTCCTTAGATGACTATCTTTTAATCAGCTACTCAAATGACTCATCACCTAAAAAACTGGCTTATTCACCAAATTCTTGCCGGCATCCTACTACAGCCTATTTATTTTACTCCCGGTAAGAGGCCCCCGTCTCACCCTGTATCCGTCGTAGATCCAGGTGCCCTTCGGCGTGAACCACTCCTGGTACTTGAGGTCCATGGTGAGCTTGGTGCACCCGTAGACGGCGGCGCCCATGAGCGCCACCTCCAGGAGGACCACAACGGCCTGGCCCAGCGGATGCATCGTGAAGTTGGGAAGCCACGTGCCGACGATCCTTTCCAAGGCAGCAACAGCGTCAGAGGGTGAAAGGGGCACGAGCTTGGCGCTCTTGAGCAAGTCGCGTGCAACGATGGCGAGTAGTGATGGCACCAAGGTGGTGAATTGTGCCAGTTGTGCACCTTTGTCGCAAAAAGATCACCCCAACCTGCTGCACGGTGCGAGGCATAGATGCGTACACACGTACGTGCGCATTCTGCATGCGTGCGAGAAGGAGCTGCAGTAGTGTACTGCCGAACGCTGCTGGCGGCTCCATCATCCGATTGCTGTGCACTTCTGCGACGGCACCGCGAGTTGAGGCCAATAGCCTCCTCGCGACAGAGCCGGTCGTTGGAATCATTGACGGGCCAGCCAAACGCGAATGAGCAGATATTCCGCACCCCCACCCCACACCCACCCAATAAAGGAAGACAAAAGTCAGGAGAAGACAATCAGAAAAAAAGCAGATTGAATCAGAAGAAGAAACAGAAACAAATTCGAGACAAGCCAATCAGTCACCGAACGGTGCAAGAAAAGCAATCAGACAATCGCCCAACTGGCTCACACACTAAGAGAAAAAGAGCCAAATAAAACGCGTTCAAACGTGTACAAAGTTTACGGGTGTGGGTTACTTTCGTGTTCTTGGCCTGCAGAACACTGATCAAATGTATGTGTTCCCAAAAAAGTGTTGTTTGGTTTTTTTTCTGCCAGCGACGCGGCAACTTACTTTTGCCTCAGGGGCAGCTTGTGCGGGTCGTAGGGCCCGCTGCCGAAGATCTTGTTCCCCCATATGGGGGCGCCGGTGGACATGGAATGCGGGATGCCAGGTATCTGCTTCGCCGTTGCTTCCGATATGGTGATCTGCATGACCTTGGCCGCCTTTGGCTGAACCGGCGCCGGCCGCCGTGCTGAGTCATCGCTGTCTGAGCTCTGGATCTCGCTGCAGCTGGCGGACGACTGAGACGTCGCCGACGGGGACCTGCACATCGCCTGCAAGCACGGCGCCAAACACCTTCAGAAAATTCGCATCCACTTTAGAAATATAGCGATTCAGAAGTTGCAACACATTATACCATTTGACATGCGCGTTGTTTCATTGGTGTATTGCCGGTCACCTTCAGAAACGCGGTAATTTTGAAACTACAAATACGTAATCACACATTTGACCAGTGGGTTGTTTCATTGATGGATATGCCGGCGGAAGACTCCATCGAAGTGCGCTGCCCTTGGCCAAGAGCGATGCCCATAAATCATCTTTGATGGTACCACCAAGTGTTCGGGCACATTTTCTAGCTCACTTCTTTGCAAATGTGGCAAATCATACAATGTTTTGAGGGATTCATGTGCAGTAATTCCCATGCTGGGCACATATCACAGGAAACTTCATCGACAACGCGTGGTTTGTCTATATCTGTCATTTCCAGACACGAAGGTCGTACCTATATACATATAAGTTGCGAAGGTCGCAAAGGCTACTACCGCACCGCAAACCTGACCCGAAAAATATAAAACCGAAAATGAACTTCATGAACTGCGACCACGGTCTGAAGGCATGCACGGAAAGGATGGACATCGGCCAATTGTAGCCCTCCTGCCCGCGCGCGGCACTGATTACAACGCCACAAAATGTCCAATACCCCTCATTCCCCGACGCGAAGTGGTGAAAGCAGCGAAGGCCGTGAAGCTGTGAAGCCGCGAAGTCCGTGAACGTCATGAAGGCGTGAAGTCACGAGGTCGTGAAGGTCATTTCCGAGCTTGCAGTGAACAGGTTTCGGGGCCTCAGGTCCCTAGCACCTGTCACGGCCTTCATGACCCCTTCGTATCCTTTGATCCGGCAACGACAGGTACCGGACAATCTTCCGTCTCGTGCTTGGGATCATTGCCTCATATCGCCAGTTCAGTGCAAGGGCTTCCGCTTTGCCTTGTGTGACAAAAGCAATTCCAAGGGATTCGCGCACTCACCACCCCGATGGGCGCGTCGACGTGGTTCTCCGTGAAGGAGAACGTGGTGTCCAGCTTGGGCGCCTTCTCCGTCATCTTCCTGACGATGCCCAGGGGGTCGTCGAACTGCGCCACCACGCGCTCGATGTCGTGGTTGGTCTGGCTGCAGCCGCACTGGAAGCCAGCGCAGCTGGCGCCGTTCCTGGCGCGGACCTCCCTCCGGCCGTCCAGCACGACGAAAGCCACGAAGAAGGTCACCTGCAAATGGGCGGGACGCGCTTTAGTTTCGCTAGACACGTTGAGATTCGTTGAGAGATACGTTGAGAGTCGTTAAGATACGTTAAGAGTCGTTAAGATAAAGATATACTAAGATGCGTCAGATATGTTGGCGTACGTTCAGGTACGATAAAAATGTTCAGATTCATCCGGAGTGTGCGCGGCATCCCGTTGTGCGCGGAAAATGGGGTGCGGATGTGGAACATGAGGCAACGCGGGGAAATAACGTGCTGCCACGCAGGAGGCAGCGCCGGGTGATCACGGGACTTGGGATGTCTCAACATGTGGTGCACTGCATGCAAGCGGTCAACATGATTGCGGATAGTTACATGCACTAACTAGTTCTGCACAATTTTTAATCTCAGGCCAGCGCACAGAATCTATGAGAAAGCATGAGGCAATTCAAAAGGCGGCTTGAATGCCCATTGTCGCCGCGCAGCGTTCTCCATTCCGGTACATATCAGAGCGGTAGAAATGGTGAATCTTATGGTGAATTTTATGGTGAACTTTGTTGTGGACTTTATGCAGGGGGCTCCTACCTGATACAAAAAGTCGAAGAAGATGCCAAAGGCGGCGAAGACGCAGAAGGTCTGGATGCCGGCAATCGATGTGTACGTCCCGGCAATGAAGGCGATGCAGTCCGTGAGCGAGGTCACGAAGATGGACGAGCCGGCGCGGCCCATGACTAATGCCACGCGCTCCGCCACCGGCAGGTCAATGTCCACCTGTCGGCAGCGCGCCATTGTGTGAGCCTCGCGACAAAGACTTCTGGCCGCCGTTGAAAAAATGGTCCGCGGGAATTTTTTTTACAGCTTGCGTATTTGTGGTGCCTGCGGGGCAGGCGCCGCGCCCACCTGCTGGTACGCGCCCATGATGACGAAAGTGTCGTCCGTGCCCAGGCCGAACATGAGGAACGGGATGGTGGCGGTGACCAAGTTGTAGTCGAAGCCCAGCCACAGGACGGCGCCGAATGCGGAGACAATGGCCATCAGGACTGCCAAGCACATAGGTTCGTTAGAAATGACCGGAATCGGCGGCTGTCGGAATTGGCTTGGGTCTCTCTTCGAAATAGTTTGTGATTGGCCGAGTGCATCTGATTATTGTTCGCTAACTATTATTAATTATTAATTATTATTAATAATGGTTATTAATGGTTATTAATGGTTCTTAATGGTTATTTTTAATTATTAGTAATTATTATTAATCACTGATCGCTAAATCGCCAGCAGTGGATTTCCAGAGCGGTCCAGCGTGTGGGGGGGGTCATTTAACTTTCGTGAATAATTGCGTTCATCCATTTGAACAGGGGCAAGACTTAGCATTCATCAATTTGATCATCAGCTGAATCCATCACGAGCTCCCCTGAGCTCCTGAAAATTTAGAAATTTAGGCTGTGCGGATGAAGATACCCATGCACGCATGAATTGACGCTTGAATACGCCAAGCGAAGCTCCAAATGTCCCATTACAGTGGCAGCGACAGATCCAAACCGTCGCATCCTGAAATGTGATCTTAATGGCATTCAACACGGCACACTGGTCACGACAATATTGCTGCGCCAACTAAACCACGCTCATAAGATAATTGCTACCTCGACATACAATGTACATCTATACACAATGTGCATCAGCGCCGCAGGATGTTGCAGAAGCCGCTGGAAAATGCCGTTAAACGAAATGCAAATGCTGACTAGTGGCCACCAAGCCACCTAGCATCAAATGCTGAAAACGCCGTGGCATTTGCCGCTGTCTGGAACTGAGCGATGGCGTTACTTCTCTGCTACAAGTCCGCTAGTAGACCTAAGTAGAAGTAGTAGCAGCCATAAGTCCTGAGTAGGACCAGTGGGAATTACCGCAAAGGGACATCCGGCCCTGGCGAGGCGCACTCACTTGACACCACACTGACGAGCATGAGGTGCGACTTGTTGAATGCAGGGCTGTTGCGGAAAAGAATGAATGCGCCATAGATGACGATGATGAAATATCCCGTAGCCAGCTTCACGATGTCCTTCTGGATGAGCTCGTCGCTCGCCCTGCCAGCAGCAAGCAGACGGCCCAGAACTCGTCACCAACCAAACACACATGCTCAAGAAGATCAGATGCAAGTTGCTTCAAATATGTGCACATTACTAGCACATTACGGAGTGTAAGAACGAAAAACAGGAATCTGCCAGATCCCATTGAACCCAGCGGGAGATAAGGCCTAATCAGTTGCCATCTTCTGCCCTGCTCAGTGCCCATTCTGCGCCCCCGCTGCCTCCCGATAGCACCTGAGAACTTTCAATCTCTTCCCTTGCACAGAGCTTATGGCAGTTTCCACCAATCGCTGCAAGGCTTTGCATATCGCCAGCGAACTGAAACGATCTCAAGACTTGATTTCGTCAGAGTTTCTTGCCCTTTGGTTTCACGCTTCGAGGATAATGGACAGGGCATTCATTCATTTCTTTCAGCGCACCAGCAACAGTTCGCGACACTTCATGGGGTAGGCCCTGCACTTTCGACCGTAAGGCGGCGTGGGTGCACGGTTTGCAAGTGGTGCTTTGGCCCGACGAGATTTCAGCGGTATTTGCCAAAACATATTGAGATATATTGATGCCTATATATCTAAGATACCTATGTCTCAGATATCTAAGATATCTGTATCTTAGATATCTGTCGATTGCATTAATCGATTAATGCAATGTCCTAAATTGGACCCAGCATTCAAAGTTGCATGTGCAGTTTCATCAGCGCAACAGTCAGGCAGGATGTACCTGTCCACGGCATGCTTGTTGGTGACGTAAGGTCGCAGCCTGCTTTTCTCCCATCCTTGCAGAATGTCCACCAGATGCTGGTCGAAGGCCGAGGTCCTCGGATCGTACGTCTCACCGTCAATCTCTTCCTGCGTCGCAGCAACACATCGGCTCGGGCGAAATGCAAAACCGTCTACAAACCTTTGTATACTAAGCTGTACACAAACTGTATAAAAAACTGTGTACAGATTGCCCAGTTCCTTCTCTGGTTAGAATTGGTTGACTGTACGTTATAGTGTCCCATTTTCGACTTGAATATTGTTGAGTTGCCGAAAATGGTGCGCTCAACGCTCACACAAGGTTTGATAACAAACTTCGGCGTCAGAAGTGGGCTCAAAAATGAACAGAAAATAGGCCAAACAAAAATGTTCAAATTGGACTACCTTTGCCCAGAAGTTGGGAAGGAAAAGTGCCTGGCATATCCTCGTACGGGCATGTGCAGCGCTCCGTCATGCTTTCACCAATGCGCCCAGGGAGAACGAGAAGGGGGAGGCGGGGCAGGTGGGTGGGTTGCACCCAGCCAACCCACCTGGGCTGGGGAGGGCGGGGGTGGAACGGTGGTCGCGATGCACTTACCTTGTTGTCCATCAGGCTCAGAACAAGCTGGAAGCCTTTGGCCGACTTTATCTCCCCATTCCGGTAGGTCTTCAGACCGCCCAGCAGGAGGCCTTTGTCGATAATGCGCCCGTAACTGTCACGGATATCTGGCGCCACACAGAAAGGAATCGATGAAAGCTGTGCCACAATGCATCGCCAGCTTTTGCGCCGTTTTGCGCCTGAGATTGGGGGACCAGCTGAGCGCTTCCATGTACTGCGAAGCGCCGAACGAGTAAGGATAGCTAAGCTAAGCTCTGTGAATCCAACCCATTTTTGCCAGGAATGCGCCGATGCATCGTCAAATGGGGGCAAGGGCGGCGCAACCGCTGCCACATTTCTTTGGCAGTCAAACCGCGTTGCAATCTTTGGTGGCTTGTTTAAACAATCCATCCAATCAACCATCTCGAGAAACATATTTGTTTCTTTAAAAAATTCTTTTGACACATTTCCAGAATTTGGCTTTTTAATTGCCGTTTCATACAGATTTTCCGCCTTTATGCTTCACGCATTGCGCCACTTGTGCACACTGCTGCTCCATCGGGAGGCCCAGCTCGAGCCCCCACCCACGCACCCACCTCCTCTGTCTGCTTGAACATATCACACCACATTTTCGCACCTTTATTTAGCGTCGCTATTGGGTCGTCATCCGCGAGCAGTTTCTCCATATCGTAATTCCAGGCGTCCAGAACGCTCTCCCTCTGTACGGATTTACGACATTCTAAGCTCAGTTTGCCACAAAGTTTGACTCCAGTTCAGCTCATGTGTCGGACCACTGTGTCGCCGAATTCAGTGCTAAAGGAGGGCTCACAACTAGAGCTCTTGCACCAGAGATGGGGTCCGCGCGTCGGTCATTTAGAGATGTCCACCATCGCAGTATGGGCATTGCACAGCAGCATCTGGCGTGACATTATCGAACGTACATATTGATAATTGGCATATACCGGTGCAATTGAAATCAAATAGCATAATCTAGACAGCGAGTTATCCAGCATAGCAAATATTTTGCATTGATAGGGGTACGGCATTGCTGCGGATGGGACACATGTCCCGTGCAAACTGAAACATATACCATGCATTTTGCCACAACTTCCACTTTATGTCAAAAACACATTTGCATAAATTTCTGTGTCTTCATATTATTCATACACTCATTATCAATTCAATCCATGCCACACACCAATGCTTCACATATCAATATTGCGAGCGTCGACACATTTACACGATCGCAGTTATATTATGGAAATCAAGTCCTCACCCCCCTTTCAGCAGTAGAGTTGGAAGGGGTGACGCTTATTACCGGGCTTGTCGGGCTTTGGGTCAGGTTTGCTCCCGTACTTGGAAGCCAATCCACAGATTTAGGAATGCAGGTACCCGCGCTTTCGCCCAGTACTTGACTGCTTCCAGTCAAACGCTGCGCACTTCTAGTGCCCTGGTAACTATGCCACAATCGGTCAATCCAGTCGTCTTCTTTGTGTTAGGCTGCCCTTTCACAGAAGAGCTGTCGTTTCGCAATCAATCGATAAAATATTATCCAATATACAATGTACAAACTCCACTAGCAATATATAAACGTCCAATACTTTGTACATAGTATATTTTGCGATCGTCCGTTTTACCTTGCAAGGCAGAACGGGCAGCGGCCGCCAGCAAACGGACTCGTACGTCACGTTCTCCCCGTTGTATGATGACGACGAATTGGCGATGGTCTCCCACACCCTCATGAATTCCACCAAGTTCTTCTTAGCTACTTCGTTGTCGTGGAGCAAATTGGTTCTCTTCCAATTCCTCCGGGACACAGCCAGAACGCGATCCTGAGCAATGGGCGCTCATCAGTCAGTCACCGTGTTGAAAAACAACCGTGATTTACAATAAATTAATCCATCGAAACCTACGATATGCAATACAAAACTGTAGGATGCAAAATACAGTAACGTAGCCGTAGATTGATGATCGCAATTCGATTCTGCGTTCTTGATTCACTCCTCACGAATGTTTTCTTGCAAAGTCCTTTTGCGTGTGCACGCGATGCGTGTGTGCGGACTAAATGTGATTCTTTCGGGACGCAATTGAAGCACATGCATTATCGACAAACGTACACACACGCACACACAGAAGACATATCGCCATTAAGCTCAGCGGCTGGGTGCATTTACCAGGGGTGGGGCGCCCTGGGCATCGAGCGACCGTGAATTGACGCCTTGGCTGCGCTTAATTGAAAGTTCCTGATCGTCCTGATGATGAGCCCATTTTGGATTCCGCAGTCGATTTCGCGATAACCTCGACCGCCACAGACAGGGCCCCTAGGACAACGGTCATGTGCGCTTCGAACAATCGAAGCTCCGGCGTTTCAAAGTCATGAACACTCCGTTGAATCTTGTATTCGCATTCTTCGCCTCGGCGACTCCCTGTGGAGCCGTCAGGCAAGAGTTCTTCATAGAGATGGGTGCACCCACAGCTCCATGAAGAACTCTTCCAATTCCTGCTCTTCAGCGCAGCCAGTCCCGCGCCATCAATGGATCGTCATGGCTCTCCACTGTCGAATCTTAATGATCACAGTATTCGGATCGCCACGGATCTCACCTCCAGCGGCGGCGTGCCATAGGTGTCCAGCACGTAGTCGATGTCTTTCAGCGATTGCGCCCCACGCGGCGTGTACAGGTCCACGTCGTCCAGCTCCATGGACATGCTGAAGTAGAGGCCGGAGCCACAGGCTGCGGCAAGCAGCAGGGTGACCACGATGGTGGCATAGGGGTAGGCCGCCACCACGCTGGCCTCGCGGTAGAAGAAGGTGCTGATGCCTTAAAGGAAGTCAATGAAAGCGGCCAGTCAGTCAATGTCAGCAGGAAGGACGCATCACACAATCTGATTGCGAGGGGGCTCAATTTCGACAGAGTTAGGTCCCAACAGCACAGGACCTTCGAGCCAGGTCGATTGTGCGTGCGCCTGAGACTATTCTGCTGGGCTGCAACCCAACAAAAGGTTCATTTCAGTGTCAACGATTCATTAACAATCAACGCAAAAATAGCAAAAACGCAAAACTGCTGCAAAAACAAAACTGCTGCTGCAAAACAACGCAAAAATGCTGCGCAGTGCTGTTTAGCGCTGCACAGCATTTTATCTTATCAATCAATGGAACAATGGGCATGGCAAATTGACCACCACTGGCGCAACCATTTGTTCTGTTGATAATGGATCAAATGACGTTGTCTCGACCGTGCTTTCAGCGCCATTTTCCATCAGTGTGGTGAACATGCGCATCGCCGTTTTGTCGGTCAGCCAGGCCACGAAGCAGGCCATCCCAGCAGTTACTAAACAACGAAAGGAACAGATCACACACTTGCACAACACACATTCAATTGGTTGATTCATTTTTGATGGGCGTTCAGCCAATCGAAAATGAGTCAATCGATTGATGCATTGGGGGCAATCATCCGCGAGTGGATGCACGAAGATAATCATGCGCTGCAGCCATTTGCCACTGTTGTTTAAGACCGTTGTCAGAGTTCGTTTGAGACGGTCAGGATGACTTCAAGGAGTGAAGTCAAAGCCCTGCACTACCAAGCAATGCACATGTGGATTTGGACCCATGACATTCACACAATTGAAAATAACACCGTCTATGCAAAATTTGACACCAGATTTGTAAAAGCAACGGAAATGGACAAGGCAGAAGGAATACTGCACAACACCGCCGGGCAGGGGCAAGGGGCAGTGCTGGGCGATGGTATTGTATCCTAGACTAAGAAAAAAACTAAGAAAACTCTCTCTTCTCTCTAAGGCAGTGTTTTGCTTAACAATTCATAAACTTTTAGGTTTTGACAACATCGACTTGTCCAAACTGGGGCCCAGAACATTTGTGTCAATTCTCCCCTTTGGACAGGCGCATTTCATCGCCAGCAATGACAATGCAGGCGCCGTTTCCTTTCCGCTTTTGGATGCGTACGTGCCATCCAAGAAACTCAGCCTCCGCCCTGCACGGCCCCTGCGGAATGTAGTTCGCTTTCGCACAACGAAGCCCGAATCTGTCCAGTTCGCCGCAGACAGACACAAAGGTTATGCACGAGGATCTGGGCCCCCAACCTGCACTGGCGCGGGCGCCATTGGGATGCAAGCGAGCATTCACAATGGGTGGCTTGCCAACGCACGCGGATCAAAGCACGTCCCAGGGACAGCGTCCAGCCTTCCAAGACCCGCCGCCCCGGAAAATCGCCGCGCTCCACCCGCGCCGAGATTCCACTCGACCCGGCAGGCGCGCTTTGCAGCCCTGCCGATCCGGCGAGGACGCACGCCGCCGGCGTCAGCGCCCGTCGGCTTCGACGAACGCCAACGCGCGGGAGCATCCGCGGCCCACAGAACAAGAGCGGGCCGTTCTCCGGTGCGAGGAATCGCGCGCGTGGCCTCAGGGCGCAGGGTTGACCCTCATGCGCACCGCCGCCCAGGCGCGGGGCGATCCTCAGGGACGCTCGCTCATGTGGACCGTAGTCGGCCCATGCACGAGCGTTCCATGAGGACCGCCCGCCATCTGCATGAGCGCCCGACGCCCAAATCCGTCCGCGCGTTCACTGCGCAGCCACGCGGCCCTCCGGATCCCACCCCCGGCCATCCCCCTCCGATCCCACCCCCCCTGCCTCCTGTCCCGCGACGCCCCCCATCGAACCAGACCGCCAACCCCCACAAACACATTTCACGATTGGCAAGCCCGCCAGCCCCACCGCCGCGAATTCGCATCTCCACAGTTTTCCACAGGGCGCCATCCCAGGAGCCAGGCGCGCACCGCCCCCACCCGCCTTCTGAAAAGCGCAACCGCGCCAGTTCGACGCCCATTTTCCTCCCACTTCTGTCCACGGCCGTGCCCAGCCGCCACAAATTCGCCCCCCGGGCCGTTCGGCGCCAACACGCAGCGCGCCATATGGCCACACGAACGCACCCCAGGCGCGCAAACTCCGCGCTCTGACGGCGGGTGTGGGCAAATTTCCACCCACCTCTATCCACGGCCGTGCTGAGGCGCCGGAGGAAACTCGGGCGAGGCGCCTGCGGCAGCGCCTGGCCATTGCCTGCCGCCCCGCCCCCCTTCCCCGCCATGGCGTCGGCCGTGCCGCGCCGCGGCAGTCTCCAGTCGACCCCCGCCTCCAAGGCCCCCTAACTAATGCGCGTCGGGTTTTGCCAACGTCCGCCCCGAGGAGCAAGGTGCGAGGGGCGCGCCACGTTGCGCGAGTACATGGGGCTGGGGGGCGCGGGCCCACGGACCCCGGCCTGTCGCGTCGGCGGGCGATGTGGCGCGGCGGGATATCGCGGCGATCCGCATGAATCGATTCAAGCGGATCGGGGATGATCCTGCAGTATCGCATGGAGCCTGCCACGCGTCCAGGGAGGGGTTCGGGTCCCGAACGTGCCGTCTCTGGGGCAAGTGAAAGATCGAATTGTTGAATTTCAATTCAATCTTCCCCTTCCTCGGCTCTCAAGCTGGCAGCTCGCGGCGTCGAGGCGGAGAACCCGGCGCACAACGCGGCCCTGCAATAGCGACCTGTGAGTGGCGGCCTGCTTCTTTGGCCAGTTCTGGCTGTCTGCTCCACCTTGTTCAGTGCGCGCTGCGCGCAAAGCGTTTATCCTGGCTAGGTTTGGTGCATTGGCGAAAGCGAGATGCACATTCATAACATGGGAAGCTCCTCTGCATGTTTGGAGGAAAGGCAAAAGCTGCCGTACGTGCTGTGAGTCGGTGCTTGCCAACACCACCAAGGCAATGGTGTGGCAGGGCGAGAGAGCGCAAGCACAACCCAGCATTGTAATATCTAGGATATGGCCATATCGCTCCATATCCCTGGATATGGCTGCCGTATCCTGGATATGCATATCCGGAATATGGCCATATCCCAGGATATGGGCTCCCATATCCTGGGATATGGCCATATCCTCACCCTTATCCTCACCATATCCTGGGATATGGGCTGCGATATCCAGGGATACGTGCCATAGGAAACGGCAAGGTGATGGGGAGGGTCGGAATGCAAGCGATCTCCTCTGCAACGCTTGGCCGGGACCAGGCCTTTCCAGGTGCCAACGCCGTGTTTGCAGTGCTTCGGCGTGGCGTCTCCCAACCGGCCCTTGACCAGTCAACAGCGCGCCGCAGCCGGCACCCGTTACCAGTTCGAATTATTCTTTCAATCGGTAAGTTTCTGTCAATCCGTGCCTTTCGCCTGCGCGAAAACACGACACGATCATTACACTAACACTACGGCAATATTACATAATGATTGCGCAAGCGCTGCGCCAGTAGATAGCGTCCGTCAATTTGAGTATTCTGGGTTTCTGTCACGGGCAGGTGGAGAAGCGTTAACGGCGGAGATGACATGGTGGTGCCGTCACAGGTGGTGGCCACTCATGGGCTGCCGGTGGAGTATTGCATGACGGTACCAAGGCTCAATCGGGGTGGCAGTCTGGCAGGGGTCAGCGCAAAGGAATGGTTAATGGGAGTTGTTGTCATGCATTCATGATAGGTACTTACTTAGGGAACTGGCAGATGGATGATTTGATGGCCAGCTGCTTGGCTAGAGATATGGAGGCATAATTGATTTGCAATTGTTGTAAAATCTGTAATACAGTTTGTGTCAGAGATTGTGTGTGCCTCTGGTTCATGCCGCCGACCCTGCGCGCCCGTATCACCAGCATATACATGCTATACTCTGCCATATCCCTGCCATGCCCCACGATATGAGTTCCACATATCCAGGAAATGGCCGTATCCCCAGCCACATCACTCTCATACTCTCACCATATCCCATGATATGGCCATATCCTCAGCAATATCACTCGCATATCCTCGCCATATCATTCCCCAATAACCTCGCCACATCCCAGGATATGGGCGCCCATATCCTGAGATATGGCATATCCCCAGCCATATCTTCGCTTTATCCCAGGATATGGGAGCCGACATCCTGGGATGTGGGCTGCCCATATCCAGGATAGCCATATCCTCCCATATCATATTCAATATCCTCGTTATGGGTGAGGATATGGGCGTTTCCATATCCTAGGATATGCAACTTATTACTGACGGCGCATCAACAACGTTGTTGATGTACGTGTGTGACGTTGACATCATACACGCACAACCACATGCCGGCCCTGTCAATGTTGTCGTGACACTGGCCCATTATAGGACAGCTCTCACTGCAAATGTGGGACTGTGTCCACAACGGCACTAGCAGAAATCGATTATGCCCTCTGCCAAATTCGCCGCGCCACTTCTTGGAATTATCGTCAAACCCAGGAGTTGAAGGAGCTGCGCTGGCTGGAGTTCACCAGCCGGGATTATTCCCAATATAATAGAGACCAATATTGGTCAATGATGTAGTGACGTAGTGATTTACCAATCCATTAATAACTGGCATGAGCAGCATTGTGCGTCTCCGATGACACAAAATCACAAAGCGATGAACATACAGCTGAAACCGCCAGCCAGCCCTCCCATAGAATATCCCAAAGGGCCACCAGTTCCATTTCAAGCCGCATTCCATTGCAGACAATATAAATTTGTGTGATGAATGGAGCCACCCCTTCACAGAAATTTCTCTACAAGTTGTACCAGCGACATCCTCGCCTTTGCCCGTAAAAAATCGGCTATGCCTACCGCCTCGCTGTTTAACATTTGGGTCTGGAATTAGTCCCCAGCAGGCGAGATTGGAATTATTTTCTGATGCTTCAGGCCTCCGAAGATACTTTTTGTCCTTGCGCAAGAACGCCGCTGGCGAATCAAACCGCTGGTGGGATGTGGCGCCTGAAACGTTCGGGTTTTTTCCAGTTCCTTTTTGTTTCGACCCGTGACAACTTTCAATTTTATTAATTATTGCCAGTCAAATTCGATTCACATTGCGATCATCGGGAAAAACATTCATGTCCAGAACGCACATGTCCTGCATGCGCATATCCTGGATATAGATTTTACATATCTATCGGAATTCTGACATGATGAAAATTCATGATATTTCGAAGTATCACGAATTTTTCGTATATGGACTCTCCATACGGAGAGTTCATATCCAGGATGTGTGGCCTTCACATCCAGGAAAGGCAAGAGCATGGGCCAGGAAAGAGCTCTGCGCCAAGACACAGGCGCCCAGATCTTGTGCATGGCCAGTCCCTGCATACGTGCATCCATGATGTGCAATTTTTGTCCGCCATTGCTCACACTTTCAAACTGCAGAGCTAAAAATGCTAATTTCAGGCAAGCAAGCTTCTTTGGACTTCAAGTCTTGTACACCTTGAAATATTCATCGAATGATATCCGACTTTCCCAACACCATCTGCCATTTCACAGGCCCTACAACAATATGATTGGAGCACATTTCAACAATTGTAATACCTATGCTTTACATTCTTCACCCTAAGGAGCCAAGTGTCAGGGCTAAATTGAAAACAGGTGTAAGAATTAACATTACAATAAGAAAAGTAGTATTCATGGCAATGAATTTCAGTTCTGCTTCATGATATTGAAATATTGAAACACTTCAATCGCTTATTGGCGCTTCGGAAGTCAATGAAAGAACTCCAAAAAGAAACAATCCATTTCTCCCGAGTGGCGCTCCGCAGAGCGGCGCCTTCAGGCACAACTTGTATCGGCCAAATTCTGTCCTCTGGACAGCAATAAGCGATCCTGTAAATCATGGCGGGTTTTATATGTGCCTCCAATTCCATGGGCGGCGTCCACGTGTTGTGCCGTGTCGGCTGGAGGTCGCATGCGCGCACCCAAATAGTTGTGCGCGTCAATATATTGGACGGAAGAGCGCGACCAAAGCCCTTCAACAACCCTCTGACACATGAGGGGACAAAACAATCCACAAGCAGCATACACAGAAAGCAAATTCAGTACTTCAGAATTGTAGTGTTTTGAACTGATGAGCATTTTTTCCCAATTAGAGCCAGGCAGGTCGGCAACATGCATGCAGATTGGAAGGGCACGTCACGGCCAGCAAAATGCGGCCAGCGGCTGCATCGCCCTTCAGCAGCGCCTCTGCCCCGAGCCTGCCAGCACTCCAATGGCACTCGTCGGTACCAAAACAGCAACTGACGACGCCACAGCGCCGCGCCCGTTTTCCACAGCGGTTTCATAGAACGCGACACTCCCCAATCCGAGCAACGGATTGGACTATGCACTGCACAAGAGATGGGAAGTCTTCTCAATCCCCACAGGACTGCCGATGAATGTTCCCAAGCCCGCCCAAACGAAGTGCCGCTATTCCAATTGCAAGCTCGGAAAGCAACGTAGCCGAAGCTTAAAGCCCCGTTTGATGGCTCTTGACGGAAGGCATCTTGCAGAATCCCTCGCCGCGCCGCCACGAGCCATCAGGTCATTCCCCCCGTGAGGTTGGCGAAGGTGCTGAAAAGCTGATAGTCTTCATCGACCTCGGTCTGCCTCCTCACAACCATACATGCCGATTCAGCTCCTGAGGGCTGCACCAAACACCTGGGTTCATCCCCGTTACTGCGAATGCCCATTGCCCCCACTACTCTGGTTGAATCTGTGCGTCGCTGATAGAGCGGTGAGGGTGCGGCAGATTGTCGATGGGACTCGCAGTTGCCTGCAATATGTTCTGCATAATCCCAATCGGGCAGTTCATGTGCCGTACACCTTGAAACGTTCATGGCACATCGACGTGGGGGAACACGTGAACTGCACCGGGAGAGGGAGAATGTATTGGCGCCAAGACCAAGACATCGAAATTCAGTAAGTTATGCGATTTGCACGAAGGCAAGGAGTTAGCTTGATGGAGGTCGAATCCAAACCCAATGCGGCGTCCACAATTCATTGCAATGTTGAGGGTAGTGAGTGGAGCGATCGGTGTGCATGCAATTGTCTGTTCTAACACTACATACAATGGCATAGTAATGGTGCAAATATGCTTGTGTGCCACACGTTGAGCTGATTATGAATATAAAAGGTGCAAATCACCGATAAGCAGCTGCTGCAAGCCCATCGGGTGAGCTAGTCAAGGAATATTCAAAGTAAACATTACTCAGCAAAACAGAAATTTATTTGCTTTGATCGTTTTTTCGAATCATTTCAAAAAGTATGCTCACCTCCT